AAGCCTGGAAGCAGGAGCAGCATCCACTTCTGAAATGGCTTGCCTCCAGAAACTCTATGTACAAACAGTGCTCAGGCCTTTCGTTCATAGGGTCGCTATGAGTCGTCTGCGACTCGACGGCATCAAACAACAACATACAGTGCTGACAACTTTTAGAAAATATTAAGTCTCATTTTAAATAATTTTACAATTTCTGTGGATACTTCCAGGGTTACTGCATAGAATCCATAGATAATGATGTTCATATGAAGCTGAGATGTCAAAAAAGAAATTTGCACACCATGCCTGGTGGAACACCAGAGAGTCTAGGAGCACCAGACACAGCCTCTGTGAACAATGAAGGAAGCTGCTTGTGGGAGCACGGAGACAAGAAGTCTGCTCCTACAACCCAGGGACAAACAGATTTAAGAGACTCAGTGCAGAGGAAATGGGACATGGGTAGGAATCTCGTTCAGGAGAGAAGAAAGTTACCAAATTCCAGATGAAAAGTCTTTCCTAGCAGTGGAAGCAGCTGGTATGTCTTTGCCTTGGACTTGCTGTGCTGCTGCTCCCAGGGGAGTTTTTCTCTGAAAGCCTGGGTTCCCACGACCATCCAGTGAGCTGGTAGGTGAACCAGGGGAAGGAGTCTGGATAAATTAGGTGTATCGTGACTTGGAAGTGGCCCAGCCGGAATCTTTGGAACATAGGAAGTGGACAATGCCCTTGTCCTCATTATGAGGTGTATCTAGGCTGTGGGTAGCTGAGGACACTAAGATCTGTTTTGAGTACTTATGTTGTGATCCCAGTTGGGAATCAGCCACCAGTTTTTTTCTGGAGCTCTTCCTAATGCTTTTTAGCAAGTCATTGTGTGATATTTTGGAATGCAGTAGGGATTCCTTGGCACCAGCATATGTTTTCCCTGGGAAGAGTTTAGAATGAGTTCAGGAGAATCATGAACACCAAGTTCAGGTATGCTGACTCAGGAAATCAGAAGTTCATCATGATGCAAAAGTCCATCCACACTCATCCTGTACTAACCCTCAGCTATGCATTAGGTATGAAGGATGCATTTCCCATAATGTAAAAATGTCCAATCAAAGTCATTGCCACAGAGTCAGAACTGACACACAGTTGACCCTTCAGCAGCTTTTCACAGGCTCTGTCACATGGGAGGAGGTTCTCCATTCTTCCCCCTAAATGTTCAAGAAACTAGAGCTGTAGCTTTTGGATTAGAAGCTCAACTTTCTGGACTAAGCTACAAGAGTTCCCCCACACAAGACGGAGATTATCTACAATTCCCACAGAGTTCACACTGATGTGAAGTTAGAGCAGAAAAGGAAAAGTACCAACATCAATGGTAA